CTCTCGGTGTGACCTATTGCCGTTGCCTTTTTCATCTCTACAGCATTCGCTGCCCATCAATGCTCGCGATCATTCCGTAGACTTTATGCCAGTCTATATTCCGATTCTTATCGCTCCTCATTGAGCTCACAGCCTGCAGGAATGTGTGGACGTGAATCCATCAACTTAGAGGAAGCTTATGAGATGTACTAACCCTTTCTAACCATTTTGCTAACATCACTTGAGGTCCTTACTGTTGTTTCTGTAGTAAACTGAAGATAGAGCCAGTCTTCTTCCGGATGAGTGATACTGTTCTGTTACAATGACTCCCTAGTAAGCTTCTTGACGAAAGCAGCCTTAGTATTCCAATACTCAAGCAGGACTCACGATGATTATGCTGCTGTAGTTTCCCCATTTTCATTCAACTACAGGCTTACGTGCTCGAACCTACGTGTGATCGCTATATAAACATGTGCTCCAGAAAGAGAGGCAATCTTCTGCCGACTCTCTTCGGCAATAAGTGACATTATTATGGTCTATCTGCATTCATCGCTGCAATGGATAAACGCCATGTCAGAAAATTTCTCTGAATGTTCGAAGTTTTCGCTGGCCAGAAATAAGTGGTTGTCTGAACACAGTTGTAGCAGGTGACCACCGTTGTCTTTTCGTTTCGGTGGGATTTCAAGTGTCACATAAGCGGCCTACTGCCTCACAGCCTACCCAACTGTGCATTGAGATCACCTACTACAACTACTCCTGAACGATCGGCCTTCAGTAGGAGGCTAGAGAATTTTCGGTAGAACTCACCCTTCATATCATAGGAACTGCAGTCAGTTGGTGCGTAAGCAGAGATTACAAAGAATCAACGACAAGTTTTACTGTTCGTTTTAGTTCTCACTGTGCTGTTCAGGCGAACAGCTCATAAGGCGACCGTCAACTGCGATTCAGTCGAACAGTATACTTTCTGCCTTAGTGCTCAATGTTATACCGCAGGACCACTAGAATTGGCCACTGAATCCCCAGAAACTCGAAGGGTGAATTCTGCGGATTAACCATATTGGCCGGGTCAGGTTAAGTGAATGGCAGCAATTGCGTCTTGTGTGGGTGTCTCAAACGCAGCACGCATTTATGATTCAATATAAGTTTTGGCGAGCGAAACTTGTTGGCCGATTTGACAGAGGATGAGGACACTGGAATCTCTATTATGCAGTTCAGAACACGGCTTTAGGAGATCAGTGATACTGTTCTGTGAATTCACATCACTATCAAAAGCTGGAAGAAATTAAAGCTGAAGTAGGAATGCTGACCTAGAAACATGAAGGAAGATTAGAAGTTAAGGATGTGGAAGGTCGATAGTGATTTGAGGGAGCTTGAGTGGTGACAGAGTTGTGATGGTGGTTGACACTTATCGTCTGCCTAGACCATGGAAGGTTAGTTCCTCTTGAAGTACGTTAAGTATGTAAGTGCAGGACCGTGAAAACCAAGAGACATCTGTTTGAAGTTGTTCACATATGGCCTTTTTAGAAGGTTGAGATTTAAGTTCAGCGGTTTTGACTCCCACTATGAACCAAAATTCCCTGGTACTCGTACACCGTGGGTAAAAGGGAGTGCGCCAGTCTTAAAAAACCATTTCTAACCCCCATCCTTTCTCATAGGGAAGGTGGCATCAGCATGGTGGGAAATACCTAACAGCTTTCAATCCCATCCAGCAAGCAGTATGAATTCATACTCAAACTAATCATAGTGTAGCAATCCACAACAATGACTGCTTTTTTTGTACCACTATCCACCAAAGTTTTCTGGTATGGTGTGTCTCAAGAGGACAATGATTCACCAGTATAGCTAGTTTAGGTCATTGTGATATGTACCCCCAACCACCATGATAAGGTATCAAATATCGGTAAAGAAGTGAAAACGAAGCATGAAATAAGCGACCATAAACTAATAAGAAGAACCTGTGACAGAAGAACCTGATATTTAGTTACACATTAAAGAATGAATCAGTTATGTAAACAATGAGAAACATACCTGGGGTCAACTGAAATCAAACCAACGATGGACACAGATAGATCATATCGCTATCAGCCATCGTTGCAGAGGATTGACGACTGACTGACAAAATCAACATATAACCTCTCACAAAAGTGCATCGGCTCAAGTTGCCAGACTTCATAGTAGTACACAAAGAACAGGTGGATAGGAAAGAAGTGATATCAAAGTAGATAAAGTAGTGCAAGATCATAAATAATCTGGAAATAAAGGTTAGTGGGGATATTCAAACTTTAGATGTCAAGGTGTGAATACACCTGCGCCATTGTGATCCATTTCCAACCGTGAAGCCTCAAGCACTCATTTCTATCGTCTTGGAGACCACAACCAGGCAGTTTACATTTTTCATGGTTTAGACCAACAATGAGAGACTTCGTTGACTGATTATATGTCTTGATCTGGCCACCCTGAACCTTCTTCTAACCTAATCCAACTTCTCCTAGCATAACACATCGAGGTAGGCGGCAGTTAGGCATGCGCAGTACCTGTTCAAGCCATCTCAGTCGACTGAGGTTCAGAACCTTATCAATCGACTTGCCTATTTGGCCTAGTTCCATTTCCGTGACCTCAACACTGCTCACATGGTGATTCCGCCAAATGCGACCAGTACTACAAAGACACCTGTGATCAAAACCCTGCAACCGCTTAATGCTTTCTTTTAACGGCCACGTCTCAGCCGTACAACAGAACAGAACGGACTGTAGAGCAGTATATTCGTCTTCTGAGAGGTTCAGGCTGGATGTTGGGCAACTGAAGCGTTGCTGAGGGCCGGCTGAACTGTGTTCCGAAGTTTTTCGCCCGTTTTAGCTACCTGTCCTGAGGGTTATCAGCATTTCCCCCTTACCGGTGATGGCTTCACTAACAATCGTATTCTTCCCGGTATCCTTAATAAGCATAAGTAGTTGCCAGTTGTTACCCAACGTTGATACCTTCTCCATCTCTCTCGTTTTTACCACCCACCACTGCTTTCGATCATTGCGAAGACTCTTATTCAATTTTCATTTGAGTTGCCTTCGCTCTTCATTGTTATCATAGCTAGCTGGTATCAATCTCCTCGCATCAATCAGTTCGGATGATATTACGGAAATCCAATGAGGGTTGCTAACTTTCGGGTGTAGGTTACCAATTGTCTTAACCGCTGTTTCTGCAGCAGACGTAATATCATACCAGGTTTCCTCAGGATAAGCATTGCTGTCATGTCCAGATAAATACTTAGCTAACTCCTCACTAAGTGAGTACTTGGCGTCCATATCGATCAATCGAGCACAATGTCTTTCGTTTCATGCGGTCAGTAAAACGTAGACTTGTACGAACCCATACTAAGACGTGACCAGAGTCCAAACTGGTACTTCAGAAAAAGCGGCAATTTTCCACCGATCCTATCCACTGATGGCTTGTAGCAGTGTGGTCTGTGTCTATCATTGGTTTGATGTCAGCGGACGCCATGTGAGACAGTCTCTATGCCTAAAGTTAATGGTGGTCAGGAACAAGTAACTGTCAGAGATATACTGGAATTGCTGCTCTTTTAGGAGCACTTGTTTGGAATACGTGTTAATAAGAGCACATGTACATTTACACTTCACTAGACACAGGAAGCAAACAGTATTGAAGCCTATGTAATCAACTGGAAGATGAGAATGTTAAGTGTGTATTTGGGGAAGAGATAGCCAAACATTTATCTGAGCACTGTGGCAACAATCTTCGTGATGAAGTCGGTGAATAATTAAGTTTGCTGTAGAAAAAAGGGCGAAGACGATTGGCAAACTGCACCCAAAGGTTAGCGAAAGCCAGTGGATTTCTTGATTCGAACTAATTGATGCGAAGCCATTCAATCTAGCTCTGACCACAAAGAGGAGCGACAGGAATCTTGTAAACTGACCGAGTCGTCGCAATAACTGCAGCGTCATGTACTATCGAGAAATACTAAACTATATCGCTAACACTTTATCTGAAATTTATAGAGATCTACAGTGTGAACATAAAACCTTTGCATGATGCAATTACTTACCAAAAATGCATTATAGCGTAAGGTTTGATACAAATAAGTTGTTTCGAAAATGTTAGTTCTTAGAAATATTCCACTAGTCTTCTGTATTCTGCAGTAACCCATAAAACACGTTGACATAAATATACAAAAGTATCTTCCTCGAAAAACAGTTTGCTTCAAAGCGTGCAATACGATCCAACTAATCGTTCAACCATTTTAGATAAAAGTTACTTGACTTCAAAGATAAAAACTCAACATACTGTGTAATTTCGAAGAACGACCTATACATAATCCCAAGGGACCGAAGTCTAACGAAAACAATCACGGAATTCTAGTAGTTCGTAAAGCAGAAACTACAGCTCCTAATGCATGCTAAATGGTAGACACTGTTTCCCATGTCAGCTGAATTTCCACCTTATGTCAGTCTACAAGACGACTGCCAAGAATATGAAGCAAATAATAAAGTACCATGTGGTTGCAAGTCTACAATCCATAGCAACACACTAATGACCTAACAAATGCAAACAGTAAGTTTTCATGAATCACCGCTAATACTATTACTAGTCGTGGAGTGAAAGTTAGGCTGGAACATATACCAAAACAGTTAGTGCGCAAATGGGTTGAAAAGATAAAGCATTAGGTCGCATGAAGTCATAGAGACGAAACATTCGAGTCTTAAACAGTTTCTTATTACGTGTTGGATATGAAATACTAAATCCTATGTAAGAAATCGAATGACTCGAGATTAAATCAGAAAATACTGATCAGCAGCTGGTGAGAGACTTCTGATAACAATTATTTTTGAACAAAACATGTATCAAAGCTCATTACAGCACTCAGGACTGAAGTAAAGAACACTACTACATATCTTTTAACATACGAAATAAATTATCCGTTAGTGTGATTTCTAAATCATGTATAACAAGTTCCAAGAAACTAGACAGAGGACATCGGGTGTGACCTGCTTAATTCAACTTGGACTTACCTATATAAGTAGTTTTTCCACCAGGTGCGGCGCATAAATCCAAGATACGTTCACCTGGTTGAGGAGATAATGCCATCACAGGAAGCATGGAGCTCGCACCTTGAAGTATATAGTGGCCAGCAAGGTACTCTGGCGTTGCACCTAACGGGACTTGTGATGAATAAACAACAAGCCCAACTTTGCTCCAAGGTTCCAATGGATCAAGATTTACACCTCGGTTTATTAAAGCCTGAAATATGACGTAGGTAAAGAGGACTTGCTTGAGCTAATTCTCGTCGACGAGTCTTCAGCGTATTTGTACGAATGGTGACCGGTCTGTCAACTTCATTTGCTTCCACAAACTCAACTATCTGAATGGTGGATATGTAAATTGATTGAAGGGAAATACCTCTCTGGGGAACAGATCAAGTAGTTTCAACATGAGAAAACGATTATAAGTATATCGAGAACACAAATCACTCAACAGTGTGTTTACACACAACCTTCTTTCGAGATCTTTTGGTGCTCTATTCTTATAATCGGAAAGAATATAAAGCCAATTCCGAATGCGCTGGTCCAGAGTGCTAGAATCCAGAGCAACTTTTCCCTCCTCGTCACCAGGATCAAGATTCGTAATTACATCGTCTTTTTCATCCACAGTTTCTAAAACATCCACTTTCATTTTTAGCTCCTCTTCTTCCAAATCCGAAAGATGACCGAAGTCATCACCTATGTGTTCACTACCACCGTTTCCAATGGGGAACTCCTTCAGAGTACCCAGCTCATCAACAGAATTTTCAATAGCCTAAAAGTATGACTTCGGCTTAGAACATACCTTTGAAACCGTTTTATTTTTTAATTTACTATCAGAATTTAATATCCGCTTTCTAAGTCTTTTCTTTTGTCTGCTGGTTAACTTTTCTGGACCCGATTATAAAATTGATTATTAATACCTTTGAGCTTAATAATCCCATCTCTTAAAACTGGATCCCCCTGATGAGCTGCTTTTTTTCGTCCTTTTTTTATGACAGATTTACCCATCGGCGTGATAACGAACAACTGGAGGTAGTCAAAACTTTGTAGGTCAGATGAACTAACCTTTGAAGATGGCCAATTAAAACAAAACACTAAAGCCCATTGTGTTTAGGATTTCAAAATTGCTCAATATTGTTTGATTCTTCCTCAAGTTCCAGAGGTTTTTCAACGAAATTTATCTAGACTTTTAGCTCGTGCTTCTTAGACTGACTGCATAAATTGAAATTACTCTGCGTATATCAGATGGAAAGAAGTTTTCACTCAACTAGCCACCATGCCTCTAAGTAACTTGCGCGGATTAAGTGCACCCACAGACTCGGTTATGCAGTTGAGATTAGCTGTAAAAAAACTCATGTGTGTATGTTGAGACCTATTATTTAAATTTCGGTGTAGACGAATCTGCCGAAGTAGCTCACGAGATCACTTCTGAAACTTGTGACTCTTTAGGAGTGGATGGTGTGTACGATATCTAAAATGTCATGTTCAGTGTCTCAACGAAATAAATGTGATATGTAAGTTTGAGGAAATGATGATGCGAGCGAACAGGAATGCTAAAATTGCTGTAAGTCGGTGCAGGATTACCACATGGTCCTTTGTATGCACAGAGTTATAGGTTCAGCATGACCACAACCTTTTAATGCGTTTTGAACCTCACCTGTTAATCCAACTGATCAATTCACCTTTGAGTGTACTATGGGTGGTTCTTTGCCACATGAAATTCAGGGGGGAGTGGGTATGGTCCTTGATTACAATTGAGTCTACATGGCAGCATTTAAAATCTTTTTCAAATATCCGTCTGCAAGATCAACGAAATGCGCTTATAGAATTGTAGGCACTGAGTTAGCTAAGCAGTCATTTCTAGTACAGTTAATCAGAGTTATATCACAACTGCTTCAAATTTAAATAATAGTAATATGTATTTCATACGACAAAGGTTACATGAATACAAACCAGTTTACAGGTTTGATCATTTTAGTAATGAGAAATGACTATTATGTACAATGTTAAGCTATACATTAGATACCACCATTTATGGCATGTAGGAGGTGTGTTGAAGCAGGCTCAGTTCGAATTTGAAGATTATCCGGTTATCGTTTGAATCTTCCGGTATTCTTGAAGGTGGAGCAGGCATTACAGTCATGACCTCGAGGTGTGTGCGTTCGTCATAAAGTTTTGGTGGCATGGTGCACACTGACAAATGCGATCTCTAGGATTCCATTTGAATGCAGGACTGGTTAGGTTAACCTGAAAAGTGAATAACAGAAGCGAGCAGCAGACGAAATTCGAAACAGGAGCACGAAAATACTCAGGAGTAGATCAACCATGATACATCTGAGTGAGTTCTTTGTGCTGACTATAAGACTTACTTGAAGAAGTATCCAGAACCAACTGTTTAGAGGTAAGCTTAGGTGAAAAAAAGATGAAGGTGAGCACGACGTTAATGAAAATCAGTCTGAAGCCGAAGATATCACCACGAAATGGAGAGATTGGAGGATTTTGGTCCAGGTATTCGCTTGTTAAATACCTCTGTACAAGCGTTTGATGAAGTTATAAACATTTAAGTGAAATTCATGGGTTTTTTCTAAAATGGTAACCACCCTTTATCTGATCACGAGGGGGATGATCATGGTGTTGTCTGTTGAGTATTACCATATCGGGGCTACCGAAACTATGTTAGTGCAGAGTACTTACATGTAAGTACTGATAACAAAGGGTAAATAATAAAACATGCCACCTGCTGTGAAAATCCACCGACATACAGTTCATTTATCAATCCGGAGTGGAGAGATTATTTTAAGGGACGAATTTTAAGAAATATGTGTTAAGTCGTGAAATCAGTTAAGTCATGAAGAAATGTAGGTTACATTAGAGTAGCTACTGAGTCCACTGTTGCAAATCGTACTGCACTCCGCTTCCTGTTCATTCTTGGACATTTTTTTCAAAAAGAAATTAGATTTTGACTTAACTAATGCATTTAGTTTTGGCATTGTATATATTTTTGTCACTGCTGTTAGTCTCCCTTGAGTCTTGGTACCAGTAGCACCATTGTACATGGTATCACCGTTTGTGGTTGGGCCGTCAACGAATTGATGAGATTAGTTAGATAGGAGGGATTCACTAAGCAATAGTTGAAACTGGATGAGAGAGTGACATGCCCGTATAGGAGCAGGAAGTTTGTTCCACAGCATACTGTATTGCTCTATGAAAAACCTACATCAAAGTTTTGAGCGACACTTATTTCTGGGAAGGTGTACTCGCTATTACGCAGATTATATGCCTGTGTTGATTTAAAAGTGAAAGCACATTTCGTTTTAGAGTTTCCAAATAAAAGACGAGAAAGAAATGTTGGGCTGAGCTTCATGAGTCTCAGCCAGAGTGATTCTAGTTCTAGTTTTTGCATCTTGCTTCGCACGCAAGTCCTTCGTTATGTATTAGCAGGCGCCGAGTAAAGCTTCGTTGAATGTTCTCTACTCGAATTCCGTCGGATACTTTCGTGTTACCACAGATAACTGTGCAATACTCTAATATTGGGTGAACCATAGCCTTGTACAGTATAAGTTTTGCCTCAGGTGTGAGTATGTTTCTATGTAGTGATTACATAGACTGCATCCCGTTAGAAGGCGGGATAAAACACTTGGACAAATATAGTTTTATTTATACGGCATATATTTATGTTACGCCTGGTTACAGATATAGTGAACCACCCAGTTTCTCATATCATCATCATCATTATCAACATAGGACCAGGCATTACTGCGTAACGGTCCGAGTTGCCACACCTCATATCAGCACATCAAGTAAAAAGGTAGTGAGGTGAAGGATGAAGATAAGTGAATGCAGTCAAAAGAAATATAAAGTACGAGAAGAAAGGAAAGAGGAGTGACAAAATAGTGAGATTCGGTATAGCGTTGTTAAGATGAGGATAATGTGTGTATACATCTGCGCCACTGACTTCGGTTCTGAGCCATATCACCTAGGGTCTCCAACCACTGGTTCCTCTTGTCCCGTGGACCCCAACCACCTAGTCTGCATCGTCCTACATGGCTTAAACCAACAGTCAGAGACTTCATACATTGGTGCCATGTTTTAGTCTGGCCACCTCGGGCCTTTTTCCAGCCTGAACCCACCTCAGCCAACATTGTGTGACGAGGCAATCGGTGACTAGGCATACGTAGTACGTGTCCCAACCATCTCAGTCGATGAAGGTTCACAACCTCGTCGACTGACTTACCTCTTCTCCCTAAAACTCTACACCTAACTTCTGCATTACTCACATGGTGACACCACGGAATACGTCCTATACTACGAAGGCAACGGTGGTCAAATACCTGTAACCTTCTCATGTCTTCCACTTTCAATGGCCATGTTTCACAGCCATACAGTAGAACAGAGCGGACTGCTGTGCAGTACACGCGACCCTTAATAGACAAACGAATATCACGGCGGCGCCATAGGTGGCGCAAATTGGCAAAAGCCAATCGAGCCTTTTGTATCCGTGCAGAAATCTCATCGGCAACTAACCCACCGGGTTGATCCTACTTCCCAGGTAAGTGAAGTGGTCAACACACTCAACCACTTCACTCTCTATTGTTAACCGCGGTACCGCTGAAGACCAGTCCTGGAGCAAAAATTTGCATTTGGGTGGTGAAAATCGCATCCCAAACATTCTCAAATTCCCACTCAAAGTGTTCAGAAGACTCTGCATCTTGTCAGCGTCTTCACCTAACAGGACTATGTCATCTGCATATTCTAGATCTAAGGAAAATTCACCTGTGATCGGTCAACGTCTTTGTAATTAGGTGACGAGAGGGAAACCTCCATAAGAATATCTATGATAAAATTAAATAAGAATGGGGATAGTGGGCATCCTTGACGGACACCACTTGATGAGTATAGCTCCCTGGACAACTCACCATAGGCTCTAACATGCCCACAAGTGTTCGAGTAGAGAGCTTTCAATAAGGTGATGTACTTACTAGGCACGCCTTTCAGTGACAGACACTGCCATAAGACTTCTCGATCAACGGAGTCAAATGCCGCCTTCAGGTCGAGAAATACAGCTATTGTCGGGCGTCTGTAAGCATGCCTATGTTCCAGGACCTGGCGCAGTGTGAATATTTGGTCGATACATCCACGGCCAGGTCTAAAGCCTGCCTGGTTTTCTCGGGCTTGCTGTTCCCGAGCTCCACTCAGGCGTCGGAGAATTATAGAACTTAGGATCTTAGACACTATGTTTGTCAGGCTGATTCCTCTGTGGTTATCACAAGAGGACTTCTCGCCTTTCTTGAAGACTGGGATGATGAGTGACTTAGACCAGTCGGAGGGGATCGTATTTGATTCCCATATACTGGCTAACACTTCCGTTAGCCTGACTAAGAGAACTCTACCACCATTCTTGTATACCTCAGCAGGTAGTCCGTCTGGTCCTGCTGCCCTTCCCGTTTCAGGCTACCTACCGCTTTCTCAACTTCTTCTAGTGTTGGGGGACCTGTCTCTATGTCCCATTCAGGGTCCGACTGGATAGCGGGCAGCGCAATGGTGGCTGGAGGCCAGTTAAACTGTTCCTCAAAGTGTTCTGCCCATCGTCCCAGTCGCCTTCCCTGCGAGTGAATCGCCGATCCGTCCTTCTCCGCTATAACCTCACTAACTGTTGTTGACCATTTCCCCCCAGTCTCCTTAATAAGTCTAAATAACTGTCTACTGTTACCGATCGCCGCTGCCTTTTCCATCTCTTTAGCCTTTGCTGCCCACCACTGTTCACGATCGTTGCGCAGACTTTTCGTCAGTTTATTTTTAAGTTGCGCTCGCTCTTCATTGTACTCAGAGCCTGCAGGGATGCATTCACGTGCATCCATTAGTTTGGAAGAAGCTGCTGATATCCACTGGCTCTTTTTAGCCATTATCTTGGAGTCGGCTACAGTCTCCAGTGCTGCTTTTACAGTAGACTGAAGATGGCACCAAGCTTCTTCTGGATGAGTGACAGTCTTTTGTTCCGATAACTGCCT